ATGAGTACCTGACCTGAGCTAAGCCAATAAACCCCTTCTCTGGGATTTTTGAATTTAGGACTCAAAGAATTGAGGTCTGTTACTCTTCATTGTTGACATTTATGTGGTGTATAGATTGCAGTATGTCAGGATTTTAACTGGATAACTTGGGTTCTAGAGCCAGGTTGCTTAGATTTGAATCCTGATCCTGACATTTACTATCTACATGAGCTTGGGCAAATGGCTTAATCTCTCTTCAGTTTCCTTATCTGTCAAGTAGAGATAATTATAATATCTAATTCATAAGGTTATAGTGACTATTAGAGGATCTTAGAACCATACCTTGTACTCATTAAATGTTATTTATCTTTACTCTTTACAAATCGAGACAAAGTATTTTATTTTTCCCAAATCTGACCTCAATTCAATGTTATTCAATTCAACATTTATTTTTTGTGCATCTACTATATTCTAAGCATTAAGTCACGCTTAGGAGAAAAAATGGTGCCAAAATAGACATGGCCCACGCCTTCATGGAACTTATAGTTTAGTGGGAAAGGCAAATATTGAACAAATAATCACGTAAAGAGTCATAATACAAACTATAAGATGTGCTACAAAGGATAAGTAGAAGGTAGTATGAGAGGTTATAACTAGAATACCAATCTAGTCTTCCTTAAGAAAGCAGTGTAAGAGTTCATCAGGGAAGAGGAAGTTGGAGAAAGCTTTCCAGGTAGAGGGGTCTTATGCAAAGGCCTTTCGTGGGTTGGATTTAGTGAGAAAAGGAGGAAGAAAGTGGCATGAAATGAGGTTGGAGAAATAGGCAGGGACCAGATCGTTCAGGACCTTGTTAGATGAGTAGGATACTGAAGATTCAAGATCTTGGAGGTTAGGTTAAGGATTTTTGATCAGGACGGTAGCGGTTGAAAATGAGAGTAGCCAGGGTTAAGAGATATTTAGTAAAAAGGATAGAATCAAGCATTTATTCTGCTTTCTTACATAAACTGCACCACTGGGTAATCAAATAATCGAAGAAAGGTGATTTGCCTTTGTAGAAATATTGCAGCTAATAAATGAAGAATGATGGAATTATATCACCATTTTAAAATCCCTAATGAATGAATTGATCCGGCATTATTGATTAACAACTGTTAACATTACAAAAAGAAAGACAAGGTTACATTTTGTGTCTCCTAATGGAAAAATACACTGCCACCTATGACGATATCTTGCCAAAATATTAAACTTGAATCTGATAAAACATCTAGATCCTACTACCAATTTACAGAAAATACAGAGGACAAGGGAACACCTAAAGTATACCATGAGTATGCAATGACAAAATCCAGATCGTGACAAAAAACTACAGGGCAAACAACCTACTCCCTTAAGTTTAAAAAAAAATTACTGGGAAAACAGAGAGAAAAAATACAGAAGACTTAAAAGATATACCATCCAAATACAGTATAGCTTCTTACAAAACAATTGAAAAAAAATCCTATAATGTTCATGAGTCTGTGGGAAATGCGACTAAAAACTGGATACTTTATGATATTAAGAAATCGTTATTTTTAAATTATGATAATGGCATTGAGAGTTTTTTTTTAAGTCTATCTCTTTTAGAGATATAGACTAAAATATTTACATGGAAAATCTTATGATATCCGGGATTTGCTTCCAAAGGGGAAAATGGATGAAGGCATGGGAGAGGTAGCATTGGCCTTTCATTGGATTTGGGGGCTTGGGTGATAAGTACAAGTTTATATATTTTTTAACTCTTCTTTCTATTTTTTTATATGTTTCACATTCTCCACAGTAAAAAATTTTTTAAAAAATGTTTATTTTTAAAGAAATTTGGAAAGCAAAATTGACATGTTAATGATAAATTGGATATTTAGCTAGGAAGAGTGCGAGGGAGGTGTCAGGGGTGATACTAGGTTTCTGATTTTTGTATCTGGACCTAAAGTGGTGCCCTTCAGTGATTTAGAAAACAATGAGCAACAGGCTGGCCCAATGGCATAGTGGTTAAGTTCGCATGCTCTGCTTGGATGGCCTGGTGTTTGCAGGTTCAGATGTCAGGCATGGACTTACACACCACACATCAAGCCATGCTGTGGCGGCATCCCACATATAAAGTAGAGAAAGATTCGCACGGATGTTAGCTCAGGGACCATTCCTCAAGCCAAAAAAAAAAAAGAGGAAGATTGGCAACAGATGATAGCTCAAGGCCAATCTTCCTCATTAAAAAAGAAAGAAAGAAAGAAAAGAAAACAATGAGCAAGAACCATGTTCACAGAAGAAGGCCATTAATCTGTTTTGGACATGTTGAATCTGAGGTGTCTGAGACAACCAAGCAAAGTAGAACCAGTAGGCAGTTAGATAGGCAGATCTGGAGCTGGGTAGAGAGATCTGGGCTAGTGGTATACATTTAAGAATCAATGGCTCATAGAGTTTATGTGAGGCTTTCTTCATTGGTTCTCAAACTTGAGCATGGATCCAAATTACCTGGAGAGTTCATTCAAACACACATCACTAGGGCCCAACCTCAGAGCTTCTGATTCAGCAGGTCTAGGTATGACTTAAGAATTTCCATTTCTAACAAAATGACAAGCGATGCTCATGCTGTAGGTCTGGGGACCTCATTTTGAGAGCCACTGGCCTAGGAAGACATTATAAACACTAGTTCTCAACCTTGGATGTGAAGCTGGGTATCTGAGGGTTACTGTAAATATTCAATAAGAACATGATTACCCTTGACCTTGTTCTCAACACAGACAGAGATGAAAAGAAGTTAATCTTGTTAATTTGCTGTTTTCCTGTTTAACGTGAGGAGTGATTCAAGGGTCACAAGGACTTATGAGCATGTTTTGCTGAAGAATGCCTTTAAGGAAGTTATGACCACCAAATAACCAGCCCCTAGACGTGTTGACACCTAGAACTCTAGTTGCCCAGGGGCTTATCTGGAGTGAAAGAAATAGGGGATTTCCCTTTGTTTCTCTGAAATTCTTCCTTGTAAGCCCCTTTGCTCTATAAAGACCGCCTGCTTTCTTCTTTCATTAAGGTAGCTTTGAGAGAACCTATCCTCCCACCTTCTCATTTTGGCCAATTCAGATAAACCTTTCTCCATCTCCAAGTGTCTCAGTGATTGGCTTTGCGCATCCAGCACATGAATTTGAGATTAAGAGTTTGATATCAGACACACACTGAGAATGTCAGCAAAGACAAGAAAGAGAGTGTTTTGAGTTGGGAGGAGCGCTCAAAAAGACCGATGCTGCTCAAAAGTCCACTAACGTGAGGGTGAAAAATTTTCTTCAGATTAGCAACATAGAAATAATTGGTGAGGGGCTGGCCCTGTGGCCGAGTGGTTAAGCTTGCGCACTCCGCTGCAGGCAGCCCAGTGTTTCGTTGGTTCGAATCCTGGGTGCAGCCATGGCACTGCTCATCAAACCACGCTGAGGCAGCATCCCACATGCCACAACTAGGAGGACCCACAACGAAGAATATACAACTACGTACTGGGGGGATTTGGGGAGAAAAAGGAAAAAAAAATAAAATCTTTAAAAAAAAGAAAAGAAATAATTGGTGACATTAAGGAGATATATCTTGGTAGAGTGAAGGGAAAATCAAATCAGAGGGGATGAGAAGTAAAGAAGGGGTGGAAAAACAAAGAACAGTGAGCGCAGATAATAGTTTTGAGAAGTTTGGCTGTGAATCCTGTGAAGTGGAAGAAAAACAGCCCAGGGAAAAGGGGCGTGACTGCTAATGGGTATGAGTTTCTTTTTAGGGTGATGAGACTGTTCAAAAATTGATGGTACTGTTGTTTGCACAACTCTGTGAACATACTAACAACCATGAAATTGTTCACTTTAAATGGGTGAATTGTATGCTATGTGAATTATATCTCAATAAAGTTCAGAGAGAGAAAGAGATCTGATGATTGAGAGGAATTAGCTAAGGAATGAAGTATTTCTACACAGAGAGAATAATGTGTGCATTGGAGGAAAGAGTGCGGCATTTCAGAAGATGTGAAAAAAACATTCTGCGGCTGACATGTTCATTGAAAGAGTATAATGAGAGATGAAGCTGAAGATATTAAACAAGCCCACAAGCATGGTGTTGTGAAAGCCATGCCAAAGGTTTGAGACTTTATCCTAAGAAAAATAGGAAGCCACTGTTGGGTGATATGATCGCTATGCATTATAACCCTGGCTACCACATAGAGAACGAAGAGAAGGGAGAGTGTATTTGGGAAACCAGATAAGTGGTATTACAATTCTCCAGGCACATGCTATTGATGTCTCAGATCAGGAAGGTGGCAATAGGAATGGACAAGTTCAGCAGGACTTGTTGGAGGACTTGTTGGAGATGTAGGACAGTAGTGAAGTAGGGAAGCTGACTTGCTCACCTGGGTGGACGGTGAAATGGGAATGCTAGATGAGATGCAAGTTTCAGGGTGGGGAGCAAGACATTCTGTTTAACCTGGTTGGAAGGATCTTATAATAAGGGAGCAAGGATGATTTGTGCAGAGGCAAGTTCTCCTCCTCCGGAATTATTAAAGTCAGACTAAAGATCTTTCTGTTGAACATCAGGTATTCTTGCTCTGAAATAAGTTGTGAACTAAATAACTAAGTTCCCACTCAGCTCTAATGGCCTACCACAGGAAAATGCCATTTTTGCCAGAATTTGGTCCCCCCAAACAGCTCACAGCTGAAATGAAACCCTGTGTGCCTGGAATTTGAATTCCTCAGAATCATCTACACCAGGTTAATAATTAAAGGCTCCCCATACTGTCTACATTTGTTTGTTTCACCTGTGTGCAGGATTCTGGTTTCATAAAATCCTCCCAGCAGTACTATTTAACCTGGTGTCAAAAAAAGGTGTATGTATTCCACCAATCCACAGACAAGTCTCTACTAGCCCAGAAAGAAAAAGGTGGGAGGCTGCAGAAGCCACAGAAACTGACCTTGCTCAAAGCAAAAAACAGAGAAGAGGGCTCCTACAAAGTTGATCTTTGTATTTTTTCTCACACCCTCTCCAAGTATCTAGCACTGTGCCCTTAGGGCCCAACAGCCACTTGTTGGTTAATTGATCATCCAGATCTGGGGTGGGGTTGGGTTGAGAGGATGATAAAATTTTAAAATGTAAAGTGAAAAACAGAAAAGCACAAAAGGGAAGGAAAGGGAGAGGAGACAAGAGAATAATCTAAGGAAAGCCATATTTTGTGTCAGCGCTGCTAGTCTGGCAGTAAAAAGGAGCTGCCCCCTCAGTCCCTTGAGAAACTCTTAGTAAAGACTTGTCTAACCATCTTTGACTGTCCTTTTAAATGCCTAGGAGAGGCAGACTGGATTTGTTTGACTACTGAACTCCCACCTTGATTCTTCTCCAGTCTTTACCTTGTACAGACACTTGGACACACGCCCCACCAGGACTTCAAGCTGCTGCCCCTTCCTGAGCCTTCCTCTTTCGTGCCGTTTGTCTCCCAGGGTAAGTATTCCGCCTTCTTTTTCTTTCCCTTCTTCAAATCTTGCACAAAACTTTCTGGGCCTAATTCACATCTTTTTTATTTTCCTCATCTCCGAAATGGGAATAATAAAAATGATGGTAGGAATAATAGTAAAACCTATGTATTACAATTGCTATGAGGGTTCAACGTTGTACATGGTTGAAAATTTGTTGGAAATTGGAAAGGACTAGAAAATTAGGAGTTATTTTTATTCCCATTATTTCTAAAGTAGATTTCAGTTGTTAGAATTAGGGCACTAGAGTGCTGGGCTGCTTGTCTCTCAGGGAGAGGATTAATGTAAGATATTGCCAAATGTTTCAGAAGAAAAATCCACTCTGCTTCAAGCGAGATGCTAACCCACCTTGCGCAAAGTCCTTTGGAGAGAAGTCTTTCGGTTTAAAAGCTGGAGGCGTGGGAAAACAAAGTACTCAAACGCAGAGCGCCAGCGGCGCCCAGGGCCTCCTGGCCCGCAGACCGGCTTCCCCCGGGGCTCCCTCCCACCCGCCGGCTCTCGGCCTGAGCGCACGCCCGCCCGGCCAGGGGAAGCTGGGACTTAGGGTCCCTAGAGTTCAACACTGACGATTTCGCTGTTGACGGAGAACTCTAACCCCCGTCCTCACCCCCAGGCAGGGCCGGTCACTTCAGGGTGCCGGCACACTCCCTGCCCGGAAAGCTGGGTTAGTGATGGTGTCATAAAATGACAGTCGAAGCTGTGGAAGGAATAAGCCTATTCTAGGGGAACAGCTGTAGGTGGTCCGTGTTGGGGGGAAGAGACGGACTTGGGTGTGCACATCTCCAGTCGTTTCAGAACCGCACGTCCAGCCAGGTCGCCCAGGGAAATGCTACAACAATTGTAGGGTACTGAGAGGATGCCAGGCGGTGCGAAGGCGGTAGGGAATCAGGGATACCCGGCCGGGGGTCGGCCGCGGCAGAGGAAGCGGGCGCGGAGCTCGCCGGCTCTCCACGTTGCCCACCTGTCTTGGGGGAGGGGGACACCTCTTCGCAGGCCTCAGTCTCGGAGTGTGAAAAATGGGCAGACTACAGCTAACCTGCCTCACCGAGAAAAGGGGCTGGGGTGTTCCGGTTCAGCGCCGCTACAGAAACCACTCGAGAAAATACAGGACTTTCTTTCGTTTTTAGTTCAAAGCAGGGGAAAAAATGCAAGAAGCGTGAAGCATGCACAGAAATGCTTTTGTCATTGTAAGCGGGGAGCTGGCTGAGAGGTCGGCTAGAGGAAGGACAAATTGGTGAGTGCTCATGCAGCCTATGAATGTAAATCTGCACGCGTGCACACACGCCAAGAGGAACCGACACCAAGACCCACGCTGTGTAAGCGGACCGAGTCGCTCACAGTTCAAGTTCCGACGACCTGGAGTTGACTCTTCTGCGCTTGCGCAATAACCGCGTTTCCCCCCCCCCCCCCTTCCGCGCCCCGCCCCCGAGCTCGCGTCGTCCCGCCCACTTTCCCTCCCCTTCCCCAGCCCGGCCGCCCGCGCAGAGCATTGTGGGACACAAACAAAGTGCCCCCAAAACAGGCAGGAGTGAGCGGAGCGGCGACGGCGGCGGCGCCGGCCCGCACGCGCGCGGCGGCGGCTCCCTCCCAACCTTCCCCCTCCCCTCCCCTCACTCCCTTTCCCCTTCCCCACCCCGCCCCGCCGGGAAAACGCGAGCCGTCGCCGCGCTCCGCAAACCGCTGCCTGCCCTCGGCTGCCCGCCCCCAACGGCCGCCCGCGCGCGGCGCCCCGGCGCCCTCGCTCCTCCCCTCAGGCCGCTCCGCGCGCCGCGGGGGCTTCCCGCCCGCCGCTTCGCCCTCTCCCGCCTCGCGGGCACGCCGCGGGCTGCGCCGCCATGCCCCGGCCGCAGGCTGTCCACGGGCCTGGGCGCGGCGGCCCGAGATAGGGTCCCCAGCCTCCCGGGGGAGGAGAGAGGCGGCGAGCCGCGCGCTCCGCCCCCTCCCCCCGGGCTGTCGCCTCCGCCGCCGACGCCGCCGCCTCAGCCTCAGCCTGGCGGGGAGGAGGAGCAGCACCAGGCCTCCGGGCCCCGGCGCGCCGCCCTCAGGTAACGGGGACGGGAGGGCGGGTTGGGGCAGCCGCCGGCCGCGGTCGCCGCCCGGGCCCTCGCGGTGCGCTCCCCGTCTGGGCGCTGGACGGGAGGGAAGCCTGGTCTTGTTGCCCCCGTCCGCTCCGGGAGACACCCCACAGAGTCCCCTCAGTGGCGCCTAATCCTTCAGGGAGGCGAGTGGCCTGGGCCGCGCAGTTGGGGAGGGACGAGCCGGGCTCCCGGGGCCGGGGTTCGCGCGCCGCCCCTCCCCCGGCGGGCGCCCCTCACCTGGCGGGCCGGGCCGCGCTGTCTGCGGCGCGGGGGAAGGGGGCACTCCTCAGAAGCCGCGGAACAGAGCGCATCCTGTGCTCCCTACCTGAGGATCCTTCTGCGTCGCGTCTTTTCTGCTGGCCTAACCAGAAACGGGTCACCTGCGAGGGAGATGACAGCACGTTGGCGCTCGGGCAGGGACTGCGTCCGTGCGAGCCCCGAGGCTTCGCCGGCGTTTAGCAGAAAGCCCGAGGTGGTGTGCTCTGTCGGAACCGACAGAAAGGAAGACGAAAACTTACATTCTTTTCAACATATGAGCAGATTACCTGTGGTCAGGAAAAAATCCTCTAACTTTCGCTTATTTCCTGTTTTATTCGGGTATAGGCCAGTACCAAAACAAGCTTCACAATTTGATAGATGGCAAATAGTTTGGATAGGTAAAGATTTTTATGGTTTCCTTTTGCTGAAGATTTCAGTTGGAATTACTGGATTTAATAAAATATAAATCTTCATTTCCTCTGTTACTTCATGTTGACTGTCAATGAATTAATATTATTTAATTTTACCTAATGTAGTTTCCTTATCATAGAATGTGAAAATAATGACAGGCATGTTTTCCTATATTTCAGGATGATTACATTCTTTAATTATGAAAACCAGACTTATTTTGTGCAGCACTGCAAGGCATTTTACATATGTGATCTTATTTAATTCTTAGAACAACCTAATGACTTAGATATTATTACTTGACTTTTATAGATGAGACGGAAACTTAGTGATATTAAGTAACTTGCTTTAGGCACCACAACTAGAAAGAAAAGAGGTAAGGTTTGTACCCAGATATATTTCCAGCTCAGGTGTATTTTCTGCTGTACCTCTCAGTACAGATACCCTTTTTTTAAACCTTATGAAAAATTTCAATCTTATGGAAGATGAGAAAAAAAATAACAGTGAATACTACACTACCTAGGTTCCATGATTATCATTTATTGTTTCCTCCTCTCTTCTCTCCTTTCTGTTTGCGTCTCTCTGTGTGTAACCAATGGAAAGTAAGTTGCAAAGGTTGTGACACTCAAATATTTCTGCATGCATTTCCTAAAAATAAGGACATTCTCTCACCCCAGTATCATTATTGGCACCTGTCTGAAATAATTCATATGCACATTTCCTCAGTGTTCCAAAGTCTCTTTGGGAGTTTTTCCCCCAGCTATATTCAATCAAGATTCATGCGTTGTGTTTGGTGATTATGCCTGTAGTCTGTTTTTAAAAAGAATAGTACCCATTTCCTTTTTTTCTGATACTTAACTGACCAAACCAGTCTTAAAGAGTGCTCCCACGTTCTGAACTTAGCTGTTTCCTCATTGTGTCATTTAATTCATCCTTCTATCTCCCTGAATTTCCTGTTAGTGGAAGGTAGTTCTAAAGAAAAGCTTGATTAGCTTAAAGTGAAACTTTCTTTGGCAAAAATATTTAATAGGTGATGCTATGTAGTTCATATTGTGTCATATAGGAGGTACATAATGTCAGTTTGCCACACTGTTAGTGATGTTAGATGTGACCATTTGATTGAAGTGACTACCAGACCTGTTATGAAGGTGTGGTTTGCCTGTTTGTGATTTGTGTGTAATCTTGGGGTAATACTTTGACATCAGGCAAATATCCTGTTTCTGACTACATTTTGCTTAGTAATTTTAGCACCCATTGATAGTGAGTCTTGCTTAAATCAGTTATTTTATTAGAGATTTTCTGTAAGGAAGATTTCCTTCATTAACTAGGGGTGAACTAAAGTTTCTCCTAAAAATACAGAGTAAATGCTTAATTCCTTCCCTTTAATTACCAATTTTCAGAGTAAAGAGCTGGGGAAATAGTCTCCCCCCAATGGTGGCAAATGAGGGGTTTTTTTCTTTTTTGTGGGCATACCACTGTGGACTCATGGGTTTTAATTTGTTCCTTTTTTTTTTAATAACCATTACAATTCTTTTTCTTTTTGGTGATCAAACTGTCCCAAATTTGGACAGTAGGAACCCTTTCAAGCTGGCTTCTGTGTCTTTAACACTTCTGCTCGCCATTAGTCTTGAAGTACTTTCTAGCACAAGATATGCCAGGCTTGCCTTGTTACTCTCTTCCCTCCAGATCTGGAATGGGCTGCTTATCCAAGGAGTTGTAGTTCTTTTCTGGTGAGAAGTGGTGTATAGAAAGCAAGATCTGGATGTTTGACATATTCATTTCTGCTGGACTGTCGCTGCTCTAGGCCCTTTCCAAGGAGAAAACCAAAAAATAGTTTTTTGCTTGTTTGCTTAATCGTTTCCAGTTCAAACATAACTTAGCAGATTTTTCCTTAACTTCTTTGATTCTATATTTGTCTCTTTTGTCTTAAGTGAAAATCTTGGTGCCCAATAAAATTAATGTATTTACTTGCTTTATCCTACTATGTATACATAAAATTGTTTCAAAATTACCTTACCAATATTACTATCATAAACTTTTGAAAGTTCAAAATTTCTTTGCATTTATTTTTGTCCTTAGAATATATTATATGAAAGATGTATAATCAGAGTACTTACTGTGTTCAAAAGTCACTTGAAATACTTTTCTCTGTTTGGTTATGCTACCAATTTGATATGGTTCATTGGTTTCATTTTTTGTTTTAGAGTTTTCTTTTTAAATTTTT